TTTGCACATCTCTGTTTAGCTGCTTTTTTCCCCCTCCTTAATTATTTATTGTCCGGATGCACAGTATTCATATCCTGTGCATCGGGATATATCAGTGCCCTCTTATTTTTATACACTTTTCTAACGTCCACATTTGTGTGACCCTTTTTGCTATAACAATAAATGGATTTTCTATTCTATTATATTCCATTATATTCTATTATATTCCATTATATTCTATTTTATGATTCTATGCTATTCTATTAACTTCCAGAGGCCTCTGCTCAGTGTTATTTCAGACAGACAGCCTCCATATAGCAGTGTTATACAGTAACTACGTCACAGAAGGCTGAAAGGGCACTGTGCGCGCGACCACAAGAGCGCGCATGCACTTCAGCGGTCCGCGCGCTCGATACAGAGGTCTCTGCCTCCGCCGTTTGTTTTCCTGTAATTATTTATAGTATTTCAGACATATTTTTTTCAGCAATTAACTCAACTCAAGCAGATGTCAAAGCAGCTAAAGAAAAAAAAAAAAAAAAGAAGCAAAGCGAATCCTACCTGTGAAAGAAAGTGAGGCTTCCCGTGGAGGTTCCCACGCGCCAGCAGGACGCACTCCTCCACATTTACCCACCTACACACCCACAAACACCCACGCGCCCTTCAGTCTCATCTGAACACATTTTCTTCGAGGTTTGGAGACGTTCAAACATGCTGGTAGAGTCTCCTCGCAGCTCTGACTGTGTCTTTATATCTCCGCTTTGGCTTTACAAAGCTAGATAAACCCCTTATACAGTTTGGGCACTAGCTTCATGGCCCTATGTGTGTGTGAGCGTGTGTGTGGATTTTAAACTATAAGAAATCCGATTCAATTAACAAGCACGCAGGATCGGATTTGGACACTCGGAAAATTGTCCCGCTGCAGAGGATGATACAAGTAAAACCACTGAGGCCTTCAGAAAGGAGGGATGCACATAGGAAACACTCTGAGGGGAAAAATAGTGTTTGGCAAAAAGGATAATACGAAAAAAAATTCTAAAAACTGCCTTCGATTCATTCGATTGTGATTTATTCCTTTATTTATTGTCGAACTTTATTTTTATAAACAATTATACTTCTAAGAATGAAAAAAAGTTCCCAAATACGTTTTAATAATTAAACCTCTTAAAAAAAGAACAACCAAAAATCACTAAAATAAGAAAAAAATATATATTTTAAGACTAGAATGTGTGAGTATATTACTTTCCAACATTTTTCCTACTGTCGCACAAGAAGATGAAAGCATACCGACTATGAGTAAAAAAAGAAAAATGCTGTTTTTATGAAAAATTAAGATGAACGAAATCTGGTTGATAAATAACAGCAAACATTTTTAAAAAATTGTTTTGAGGAAAAGTGGCTCCTTTTCTGGAATTTTGTTCAAAGACTGTTCAAATATTTAGAGCGCCGCAGGGCCTTTTGCAGAATATAATATTATATTTCTCAAACGCAAACAAACCAAAACCCCACTTATAGCAAAAGATCAATAAAGTTCAGGTTTTGAGTAGCAGCCATGTTTAAACAGACCTGCATCCAAAACTCAGCTGATCCCACCTCCATTCACTTACTCCAAATCTCAAAGTCATTGAATAAAGTCGCCCACTTGCTTTTGAAAAAGTATTTCATCCCAGATTTATACATTTCTGACAGTTTAATAACCATTTTATTCCACAAAAAAAGCGGATTTCCTTTTTTTTTTTATTATTATATCTTTAATGGTTTCACCACTTGGCTGCAGAGTCATTGCGCATTAGAATAAGTAACTTTTTAAGACTAAACTGCTTAAGATATCCAAATAAATCTTATTATTAATAGTGCAAAAACTTACAGAGGCAGTCTAAGGCTGTGGCATCCTAAACAGAGTTTTTTTTGTGTGTGATCTCCTGCACAATCATTAACAATCAAATCTCCTTTATATCATCTATGTTCATATATTCATTATAAACCCAAGTTTACGTATGCCATTGACTGGAAAACAATAGGAAACAATGATAATATTATTATTATTATTAATTCGTCGGGTGAATGTATGAATGAAGGGACCAAAATGAGCATGTAGGGGATCAGAAGGGGATTTAAGCGCAGAACAACGGGGTCTTTGTGCTGCTTTTAATCCGGCCTGTACCCACTTCTCTAACTCTCTGTTCTAACGCTGCAAAGTTCGCCCAATTATTAGGAGGCCAATTTAAAAATAACCGTTAACAAAGTAACCCGTGGTTTTCTTCAAGCCCCTTTTTTTTCCAAATTATTTTTATTTTTCTTTATTTTCCATTCGTTTTCCGTGTTAGTTGTTCAACATAAGAACAAATACATACCCTGTTGTTGCTTTCTTTTCATTTTAAAGTAAAAAAAAAAAAAAGAAGTTAAACCGTGACAACTTACAAGAGGAATGATGTATAATAAATTCTTTAATAAAATAGTGATAAAAAATTATAATAGGGAATAAAGAAACATTTGGAAATAGCTACGTGGTGGAGTGCGTTTGCGTAAGAGAGAGAGAGAAAGAAATGGAGATAGAAAAGAGGGAGGAGGGGAGGGAAGGGGGAGGGCTCTGCGCGTCTACTTGGTTAAGAAGTTTCTTCTAATTAGCCAGTCTCTTCTCGCTCTCCTCACTTGTCCACCCTGCAGCGCATCTTCCTCCTCCTGTTCAGGTACCAGGAACCGTGTCGGGGCCCCTGATCAGCACCTCGGAGAGCGCTCCTTTCCTGGTGCGCACCGCGATTTCGGAGATAGATTTATCCTCGGATCTGTTTTAGTCAACCAGTTTTTGGTTGATTTGAGCAGGATTTTTTTCCTGTTATTTTTTCTTTTAAATCGATATACCGTCCGCTGCGCTTTTACGCGTCAGGTTAAGAGACAGGTGCGCTTTTATATCCGCACTGCTTCACAAAGTTAGAGACGCAAACAAAGACAGGGATAGAAAATAGTTAAAAAACAACAGAAAAAAAATCAGAGGAAGAAAACAGGAGAGAGAGAGAGAGAGGGAGAGAAAGAGAGAGATACACCCCCTGGAGAATAGTTCAGTGAGCCGGCCCCCGGCCTGAGAGAAGGAGAGAGAGAGTGAGGGAGTGAGGGAGTGTTTTAAAGCCGGCAGGAGGCATGATGTCCTACATTAAGCAGCCCCATTACGCCGTGAACGGGTTAACGCTGTCCGGCCCGGGCATGGATCTGCTCCACACCGCAGCCGTGGGATATCCCAGTAAGTCAAAACTTTTTTCTGTCATCAAATTTATTTCTTTTTAAATGTTTCATCTTGGATGTCTTAACTAATGAACTCATGCAGGCCTTGGAAAATGATTAATAGATAAAGTATTATTGCTGGGGGGAAAAAAAATCATGCATTTTGTATCTCCTTAAACATGTTTAGTTATTTAATACCATTTTTTATGTCCTACTCTAACGTGAAACGATTGCTAAAGATGCTTAAGAAGATTTAAAAAAATGCATGAAGTATGTCTATTTGAGATATTTTATAAAACACATGAATATGTGTCTGATTCCTTGGCATCATGACATGTGCTCACATGACCTGTAAGTTCAGAGGATTACAGAGTCAGGAAAAAAATAAACAATGAAACTGTGTGTGAATGGAAAGGCAACCTGTTCTCACAGCGAATTAAAACTAACTCCAATCTGCTGCTTTAATCATCCAACCTATTTCCTGAAAACACGCTCCCATTGTGTGTTTCAGTGATCCGCATTTCTTTGTTTTATATGCCATGGATTTGTTGTTGTTGTTTTTTTTTTTAATACTTTGCGGGCATCTGTCATTCCCGCACAAGGTTTGAAATAAAACATAAGCATATTTGGCTGCAACTGTAGAGGCTTCTTTACTAAAACAGGAGGAAAAGGGAATGTAGAACAAAAAAATAAGTAAAAAAATACATAAAGAGTTTTCATTTAAGTTTTTACTTATATTGCATCTTATCTGAAATATAAAAGTTACAATATGACAAAATGAAATATTTACTGAACACGTTTTTTCCCCAGAAAGAGTCAGGTAGAGAATAAAAACATCGATAAAAATAATAAAGAAAGTCAAAATAAAAGTGTGGTCTATACATATCTTTTAAAAAACGAAATAGAAAAATCTTCTATTCTAATTCTTTAAAATTTGAAAACAAGAATTAAACACAGATCAGAAAACAAAGAATGCAAAAACAAGCCTTTTAAAACAACCACATTATTTATATTTTTGATGGAGACACAAAGTTTAAAAAAAAATACATATAAAATTATATAAAAATATAAATGTTAGATTTAATAATACAATAAAATATTACAAGTCTTTGTTAATAAAAAAGCTGAATGGTACAAATAAATAGCCTTTACAGATACAGGCCTTCTGAGCACATTTTCTTTTTTTTAGTAAATAACCAATATTATTATCAATAATAATAATTATGATCTTTTTTAAGGTACGCCACGTAAGCAGCGTCGGGAACGCACCACATTTACGCGCGCGCAGCTGGACATCCTGGAGGCTCTGTTTGCCAAAACTCGATACCCAGACATCTTCATGAGGGAGGAGGTGGCTCTGAAGATCAACCTGCCTGAGTCTAGAGTTCAGGTAACAGCACTGAACAGCTCCTTTACATTAATCTCTTTTGTGGCGGAATATTAATATTTGATCACTGTAATTCATTTTGCAGGTTTGGTTCAAGAACCGCCGTGCCAAATGCCGCCAGCAGCAGCAGCAGAGCACAGGCCAGTCCAAACCACGGCCTCCTAAGAAGAAGGCCTCCCCGAGCCGAGAGGCGCCCTCAGAGGCCAGTGCCAACCCAACCAATGGACCCTACAGCCCCCCTCCTCCGCCCCCAGGCACAGCCATCACCCCCAGCTCCAGCTCCGCCAGTGCCACCGTCTCCATCTGGAGCCCAGCCTCCATCTCCCCGCTGCCGGATCCCCTGTCAGCCTCCACCACGCCCTGCATGCAGCGCACCTCCACCTACCCGATGACCTACACCCAGGCCCCGGCCTACAGCCAGAGCTACGCGGGCTCCTCGTCCTACTTCACCGGGCTGGACTGCAGCTCCTACCTGTCCCCCATGCACCCGCAGCTGTCTGGCACCGGAGGGGCCCTTAGCCCCATCACGGCCTCCTCCATGGGAGGGCCCCTCAGCCAGTCCCCCGCCTCGCTCTCCTCGCAGGGCTACACGGCCGCCTCTCTGGGCTTCGGAGCCGTCGACTGTCTAGACTACAAAGACCAAGCGGCCTGGAAACTCAATTTCAACGCTGCTGACTGTCTGGACTACAAAGACCAGAACTCCTGGAAGTTCCAGGTCTTGTAAATGACAAAAAACGAAACAAAACAAAAAAAATAAACAAGAGGAGGGGGGTTAAAAAACAAGTGGGGAATAAAAAAAAAAAATAGTGTGAATAACCCCATATTATTGTTGATGTTTTAGAAGAAAAAGAGCTGGAGACACAGAGACATTAGTGACTTCAACTGAAAAAAAAAACAAAAAAAAAAAAAACAGCTGAAATAAATAAAAAAAATAAAAAAAAACACGTGGAAGTTGAACGATTTGTGAATGCTTGAGTGTTTTGACTGTAGGGGTTCCTAAGTAACATAGAAATTGGCCTTCAGAGCAAGGTCGCTTGTAAGGAACGCATGACTTGTATACATATAATTAGTTAGACCAGATAGAACAGCTTTGATCTAATCTCTATCAGAATAGACATGTTAAAATAATAAATTCACTGGGTGTTCATAAAAATCTGGCACAACAGAGCTGGAATCAGCACCTCTTTGTTGGCCTTTATTGGAAAAAAATACTAAAGCTGTTCTTTTTTCCTGCCTATTGTAAGCTTTACCTCCTCAAACTGATCATTTATCTGCCTGATTTAAAATCTAAGAACTGGGACTGGAATTGGTGAGTAAAGGAGCCGTGTTGACAAACAGGGTCCAATAGGACTCATAAAGTTGGGGGTATAAATATTTGGAATCAGTCCTTTGGGAAGAGTTTGTCCCTTCAGAGGCTGCGATGCAAACCTTCAGCATTTGAGCAGAACTGTCAGCAACAGTGGCTCCAACTTTTCTGGTTTAAATAGGATCACTACCAGGTAAGGTGGGCAACAATGGTCCCATTGTGGTGCCCCCTACCTAACCCAGCCCTCCATTTCAGCTGCCTGAGATAAGCAGTTCTTGAATCCGCTGCTCTGGTGGACTGTTTGATTGGAGAGAAGAACGCGCCAGAGAAAGGGAAGGGACAGCCTGTCCCTTTTGCACAGAGCGTCTGGTGCCTCGCTTCGCTTCAACTTGTAAAGATTTGACTCCACTTTTTTGTGTGTTCGGCGTTTTTTTTTGTTTTGTTTAATTATCTCTTTGTATTAGATGTTAACATTACTATGTTTCTTTAAAAAAATGTGAAATTGTTAAAGTAAAAAAAAAAAAGGTTGTAATTTGTTCTGAGTCAGTATTATCAGTATTAATGCTATCATCATTGCTGATATGTCTTCAGCCGACATGGATGTTGCTAATAAAAATATTTTTATGTTGCTGTTTTGTAAATATTAAAACTTGAAAATGCAATCTTGTCTGGTATCACTCAACAGGCTCTGTCTCTTCATCCTCCTTAAAGTCTAGAAGAATGCCAACTTTTTACTGTTCATGTTTCACTCGTTTATACTTTTTTTTCTTTTCAAACTCAGGGGCTCGTCCAATAAAAGTAGCACTGATGGCACACGATGCTATTTATGCTTTTTAATCATTTATCAGTATGTTTATCTTTTGCATTGTAATCATCACTGCCTATTTTTCAGTCATGGGTTATTTCATTTGTCTCTTGTGTTTATGCGTTTTCACCATTACCATGCTAGATAGCGCTGATGTTGAGACATTAAATGACTTAATTCAAGCTCTGAGTTTCACTGTTGTTTCTAAATCACTAGATGAAGGAATTTAAAGGTTTCACCTATAGACCAACACTAATAGGAGCATAATGTACAGGTGGAAGGGAAAACATAATATGTAGAACAACCTATTATTTAGATTAGAGCTACAAGTTTGTACAATCCAGGTAGAGGTTGGAACCATTTTTGTCTGGATTTTGACTGGTCCAATAAAATCATCAAGATATGCTTTGAAAAAAACCTTTATATTGCACCTCTTGTTTCAAGTTCTGTCAGATTAAGCTAAACCCAGTGTTTTACAGCCTCTAACGAAGAAGCAAAGTGATACTGTACATTTTTTGGATTAGGATCATTAATCAAATTATTATTACCAATAATTTTGTTTATCAAGAATCAGCTCATGATCCATCCATCCATCCATTATCTGACACACTTGCCCCAATTGGGGTCGCGAGGGGTGCTGGTGCCTATCTCCAGCAGTCAATGGGCGAGAGGCGGGGTACACCCTGGACAGGTCGCCAGTCCATCGCAGGGCAACTCAGCTCATGATTGATTTTCTAATTGTCCAGCTGAGTAAAAGAAACAAATAAAGGTCCAATGTTAATTCTAGACACTACTGTATGAGCAAAGTTTTAGAAATAACAAACTGAATTATCAGAATACCTGATCTGATCAAAGGTTTAACTGTTACACTGCAAAAAATCTAAATCTTGATAAGTAATTTTTTCTTAAAATAAGTGCATTTGTTCTTGAATTGAAGAGATAAAAGAGACATCTTGCCAATGGAACAAGACAATTTAGATTTAAAATAAGAAAACACAATTGCATTCTCTTATTTCAAGTGAATACTATCTAATTGTCTTATTTTAAGAGTAAAAATACTGATTCCATTGGCAAACTATCTCATTTACCTACTCAAATCAAGGGTAAATACACTTAATTTAAGAAATTTTTACTTATTTCTAGACCGTTTTTCCAGTGTAACTGTCGCTTTCTCAGTAGGATCGCTATACACTGCAAAAAACATCTAGAAATAGGTAAAAATTTCTTATATTAAGTCTATTTACCCTTAATTTGAGCAGGTAAATAAGATAATCTGCCAATGGGATAAGTATTTTTTTTCCTAAAATAAGATAATTAGATAATATACACTTGAAATAAGACAAAGCAATTGTTTTTTTCTTATTTTAAATGTAAATTGTGTTGTTCCATTGGCAAAGTGTGTCACTTTCCTCCTCAATTCAAGAAAAAATGCACTTAATTTTAGCAAAAATAACTTATTTTTATTTTTTTTTTTTTGCAGTGTACTTATCAGTTTATTTAATTCAGCCTTAAATGCAGTATGGGAAGAAGAGTTGGAGCATAAAAGGTCTAATGTTCGTGGTTCTGGTTTGGGTCTTTGGATGGAATGGTTTCTAATTTTCATATCAAGAACTTCACCAAAAATCAAATAAATAAAGCAAAGAATTTGGAGATGAGGAAAATCTTTTATTGCAATGAATTCTCAAAGAGTGGATCAGGACTGGTTAAGGGTTGACATAGTTCTTTTGTGCTTTGTTTTCTCACTCTCAGGCGCCTAATGAGCTGATGGTTTCTGGGGTTAGGAGCCATCATGCAGGTTTGGTCAGCCAATCAGAGGCTGACCTTTAGACAGCACATAGCATTGATCAACTAGTCAACTTTTAAATGTCAAGAAAATGTAGATTTCTTCTACATTCTTTTGACTAGAGAAAAGACCAAAATGCAGAGAAATCATTTTTATAGATTCATAAAAAATAATAATTTACTAAATATTCTATTGAGTTAAAAACAAAGCTTAATTTCATTTTTAAAGCATTGAGTCTATGAAATGTAATTAGATTGGATTATTTTAAAAGTTCTCTTTATTTCCAGATTAATAAAATGAGACCATCATATGTTAAATACTTTGAAATCCATTTAGCTTTTAAATTTTTCCTACGTCAGGTTTATAAAAAACATTACAGTTTCAGTAATGTAATTGTTTGGAATATGATTTTGTTGTAGTTAAATCTGTCATGGTTTTGGTTCTGTTCATTTTTTATTGGTCCTATTTCCAGTTCTAGTTATTTTAGATTGTGTTTGAGTTCTTAGATATTTCTTATTTTTCCTCCTGTGTCTCCTAGCTCCCTTCTTGCCTCAATTCATATCTGCTCCCATTCTGCTAATTAACCTGGTCTTTGTTTCTCTCTACCATTTATTTCCCTCCTGTTCAATCACTCCTTGCTGGTTTGTCATCATTTCTTTGCCCCCTTGTTGTGAGAATTCCTGGTCTTCAGTATTGTTGGATTTTTGCTTCTGTTACCCTTTTTGTTATTAAGCCTTTAAGTAACCAACTCAAGCTTTTGTGTATGCATTTTTGGGTCCCGTCAAACCACCACTTGACAAAATCTAAGGGTCCAGCAAAAACATTTTACATAAAGCAGATGAATGCTGTTGAAAGTGTTTCTCACCGTGTGTAAAAACTTAACCCCATCCACAGACATTTTCTAAAAAACATCACCAAAGATTCTGTTACCTAAAGAACCTGTGAAGCCCCTGTGTTAGTCTGGGGATGAATGCAAAGCTGCCAGCTCTCCAGCAAGAAATTATTAGCTGTCATAAAAAATGGCTGAAAGTCGCTAGATAACATCATCAGGTGATGCGCATATTTAGTTATGCTCTAAGGCAGAGGTCTTCAACAGGGGGTCCGTGACCCCTAGGGGGTCCGCGGAGGTACTGCATGGGGGTCACGAAAGTCTTGATTGATTACTTTTTTTTATATTCCCTCCTGCAATGTTTTGCACTAATTTAAATGTCTTTAAATACACATTAACATGAATTCAACACACTGTAGTAAACAGATAAATGAAAGCAGAAGATGTCTTTCAGTCATCAATGCACACATTCAGCGACACACAGGAGCTCTTCAAAACCTGGGCACCGTTTCATTCACAACACCTGTCCCATCAACCAGGAATCAGAATCAGAAATACTTTAATAATCCCAGGGAGAAATTACTTTCGTTACATGACTCCATATGTAAAAGAGTGACTATAGGACCAGTTTGATAGAACACAATTTCATACAATATATATAATTAGGGGGTCCCCGCTCAATCTCGCAATCAGTTTGGGGGTCCTTGGCCTCGAAAACGTTGATGACCCCTGCTCTAAGGTAAGATTTGGGAGATAAGAATTATAAACACTACCAAGACAGAAATGGATTATAAACATCTCAAAATGTCCTTATCTAAAAATAAATTGTATGAAATAATTTAATATTTTATGTGAACCCTAACTACAAAGACATACAAATGAATGAGCTGAGGTTGTGTGTGAATCAAAAGCATGCAGTGGCACCGCCAGGGGATGGCCAGGGAGGGCCACACCCCACTGGCCACCCCACTCACCAGTGTAAATGGTAGTAGCATCAGTTT